TGTGCTGAAAGTGCAGTGTGTGACTGAGATGAGCATCAAGCAGTCCCAGGGGTCTCCAGTTCCAGCTTAAAGATCAGGATGCCCAAAGCACCAGGTATGTTCAAGGAGTGCTGCTCCAGGCTGCATGTTTGTACTCCTCTGACACTCACACGGCACAACACTCATTGATTTTGACAGTAACAGGAAGTAGGAACTTTGTCAAGTCACAAATGAGATTAGCATCCTTAAACTAGAGACTTCAACCACTTGCCTCTCCTTCTCCACCACACAAAGACACTGTGTGAAGACACAGTATAGCTAGAATACAGGTCCTGACAAGATGCCAGGTCTTCTCAGTCTCTAGACTTGTGAGGAACAAATGTGTGTCATTATTCAGTCACCCAGTTTGCTGTGTTGTTATAGAGCCAGACTGGGCTGAAACAACTGCGTTTCAGACAACTTCAGAGAAGCCACGAAGAGACATGTCAACGGCAGAGAAGTCTGTTGGTGTTGGGTAGGCTAAACTCTCTACACGCAGCCTCAACTGATCTGCCCTGCGGCGCATTTTGGAAGTTTCCTGTGAGTTTTTGTGCTTGGGAGTGTTTTGTAAGGATTAAGAGAGGACTGTTGTCACCTCTTGTGGTAGCTATTCTTGTTTGTCAATGTAACTGCACCTGGAATTAACTAAAAGACAAGCAGATGGGTACTTTTACCTGTGAGGGATTTTTTTTTTCTTAACTAAGTCATTTGAAGTGGGAAGATCAATGCTAAATTCCGATCTTTTGATGTAACATGAAGGGCCGGCTTGTTGGGGTATCTGTTCCCACCTGGTACCCCACAGCTGGCAAGTTCCAAGGAAAATCAATCACACAGAGATCTCTATAAGTTATAAACTGATTGGCCCATTAGGTCAGGCATCTTGTTAACCCTTGTAACTTATATTAACCCATTATCATTATCTATGTTAGCCACACGGCTCAGTACCTTTCTCAGTGTGACAGCTCACATGTTGCCTCTTCGGTGATCTGGGCAGGAAAATGGTAGAGGAAGCTTCCTGCTTCCCAGAATTCTCCTGTTCTCATTGCATCACCTCTATTTCCTGTCTGGTTTTCCCACCTATACTTCCTGCTTGGCCAATCAGTGCTTTATTAAAATACATGATTGACAGAATACAGACAATTCTCCTGCACCATTCTGAGGTGGGAAGAGCCACCTAAAATCTGGGCCATGTCTTTTGGTGGCAGCCTGTCTGACGGACTTGGAAGAAGGAAGCTCTTGCTCTTTGCATGCTCGTTCTTGCTCCCACTATAGCAAGTTCATCCCATCAGTGGCTTTTAGAGTCTACTTCTTCAAGGTTCTTTCTTATTCTCAAGACCAGCTGAGACATCCAGCCCTGAGAACTGAACAACTGCTACATTCTTGAATTTTCTTTTGGTAGACTAGATGGATCACAGCCAGCCTTTAAACTACTGTAATACATTCTTGAATAAATTTAATAAATACTCACATATATGTATATATTATATCATATATATGTTCTCTAGAGGAACATAATGCAATATATATTATATAATATGTATATCCTATATATTTTATTCTTTTAGAGGAACTTACTTAGCTAGAACGTTATATATAGTGGCACCCAAATTTGCTGAATAAATAAACTAATGAGCTATGGAGAGAAGGAAGGAGTAAATGGAATATTCTAGATAGCATGGCAGCTATATAGAGGTTATAACTATAACCTCAGATAGTGACAGCATTTGGCTGACTTTACTTCAACATGGACTGAGAAAAAGTTATACCTTTTTAAGTGTGTAATCCTTGTTTAAATGCCCACGCAGCATCTCAGTACATCTCAAATACACTATATTTACCCTATTCCTATAATTATGTTTAATAACTTACATGTCTTATTGATGTTGGAAACATTTTACCCATTATTTACATTATTAATTGGTATATGTTGAGTTGCTTTGTGTGGCTGTATCCCAGCCATTGCAACAATTACAGTAAATAACAGCAGGAACTGGTTTCTATTGTGTAGAGGATACCATGTTTTTTGGTTTATATAGGTATCTCTCTTAGATTTCATGAATCAGCAAAATTTAGATTTTAATCCCATGTTAGAGACAAAGATGTCTCAGAATGATCTAAGTTCCTGTGGGTGAATACTGGGTTTCTGGAGATTCCCATCCATCTTCTAATACGTTTCTGTCACTTGAGAAAAACTGCTGGGTCAGCATCCATAAGGAACGTCAGGTCTGTGGTATAAATGATCAAGATTATTCTGTACTGTTTGCGAATGTCACCCTAAACATAGGGCTTTACAGAGGAACAGAGTGACTGCTGTATCACTTCCTAAGAAGTGATGACTTCACTGTCTGTGGTGGGCTGGATCCATCGGGCATCAGTGTAGGCTGAGGCTTTGCTTCATCTGTTACTGATGCCCACTAGTAATCACTCCCCAATGGGCACCGGTGTGTTCTTCCTAGAATCCCAATACAACCCTGCCATTTCCTTATTGAAAGCCATCTTGTCGTGGAATCTGTGTTTTGTTTTTTGTTGATGTTGGTGTTTTTTTTTTTTGGTTTTTTTGTCTAGCAGAAGACCATCATCTTCAGCTGCAACACAGCCAGTCATTTCCTGTCTAATTGCGATGAGCTCTGTAGCTTACCTGGCCAGTGCAGCACCATTATTAAAAAGCTAGACCTTTCTACTCCATTGCTTTGAATCTTTTTTCTCTGCCTAAAAGGCCAACACTAATATCTTATATGTGTATTATTTTATGGCTCGTTGAACTAATACAAGGTCCACAAAGAAAGAAAATCTGTATTTTCAACGGCCATATCTCCATATCCAGTGTCCGGCACACAGTAGGTTTCAATAAATATTTTCTCTGGATTCTTTTAAGGTAAAGAAAAGAAGAAAGCACGCATTCAGGCAAGCTTCCTGGAGTCCTGGGAAAGCCTATACTTCCTTGGGCCCTCTTATTATAACGAGTACATTGCCATACAATGGGTACATTGCCATATTTGTTTTACATTCCTTCTCTGGTGCTAGACTGAGCTCTTAGGTGGAGGAAATCAAATCTTACTCACACTTGGTTCTTCAGCACCCAGGCTAGGTTGTTGTAAGCCAGTGGTTCTCAACCTTCCTAACGCTGCAGCCCTTTAATGTAATTCCTCAAGTTGTGGTGACCTCCAACCATCAAATTATTTTCGTTGCTACTTCATAACTGTAATCTTGCTACTGTAATGAATCGTATTGTAAATATCTGATTTGCATGGTATCTGATACTCGATCCCTGAGAAAGGGTCGTTTGACCAATAGGCTGAGAATCACTGTCGTAAATCACCTTCGTAGACTTCCCAGAATCGCAACTGCAGCTGTAGCAAATGCATGAGGTCAGCAGGGGTGTTATTTAACTGATGAAAAGTAGAGACCTGGGTAGGAAAAAAATATTACCGACCCAATTCTCTTCTGAAATCAGAGACTGGTGTTGGAACGTAGGCCTTTCAAACCTTATCATGGGGAAATTTGGTGGTGGTCTCCCAATAGAGGCCACAGGGAACATTTCTCCATGGATCCCCAGTAGTGATTGCCTAGGAACTGTTCCTAAACTTGGCCAAAACTACAGAAATACACCAGTCTGTATTCATGGTGACATCCTCATGTAGTTATCCCAGATTAAGGATCGGGGACTGAGTCCAACGCAGATGAATAGGGAGAGGGATGTGAGAAGTGTCAAGAGACATGGACCACTTTATTTTCGTTCCAAATCTGTCCTCTAGGGTGGCCAGCTGGACAAGAAGGTCCTTTTGGCATTCCCAGTCAACCCCCAGGGACATCCTTATCATTAGAGCCACTGTTGTCCCAGTTAAATATAATTATAACTAGTTGTCTATTTTGTTCAAAAGTGGTCTTGCGGAAGACTGTTACCTTCCTCTGTAGCAAGAGGTGCCAGCAGCCTTGCCCCAGGCCATCTCTTTCTCTTCCTGTTTCCCCCTAGTATATTGCTTCTTTTACCAGGATGCATTAGGTAAGGTCTAGAAGCTGAAGTCTGAAGCCCTGACCTGAACTTTCCTCTTATTCCAGTATTCCGGAACCTTCCCAGGAAGTTAAGAATAAGCCTGGGGAGAAAGTCCAGCCTTCCTTTGACCCCCAGCATTGAATATGTTCCCGAGAAGGCCAGCTCTGTGGCTGGAAGCCAACATCACTCAGTGAAGGTGTGGGTGCAAAGGTGGGTCTCCCTGAGCCTCCAAACAGACCTTGCCCTGAAGTCAAAAGATGCTGAAAGTATCCCGAATCCTGTAACTGAGGAGTGGGGGAGGGGAAGAGGAGGTGGCTACACCGACCAAAAGCCCACAAAGGACTTCTGTGAAATGAGAAGCGCTGGCGAGAAAGAATGAAACTAATTCTAGAGACTGGGCTGCTGCAAGAATCGTTCTTCAGAAACTAAGCAGCTCCTCTGTCAACATCACAGTAGAGGGGGTCTGACGCTCCGAGGACGCATGGTTTTCTGCAGAAAACCACATCGAAGAGGATCTAACTCCCAAAGTTAACCTGAGCCCGTCTGCCTTAGTTGCGTGGCGGCTGGGGTAGATACACAGCCCAGCATCCCTAACTCAGCAGCGCGCGCAGCAGGCCAGGCGTGCCCAGAGGCCTGGACCGCGGAAGGATATAAAGCACTGTTTACCTCCTGCCTGGCCGAGCCTTCCAGGGGCGAGGCCGGCGCCCAAGGCTGGGACTCTGCAGGGGTGGCCGCAGCTGCCCTGGCCGCCGTAGGGCGCTGGGGAGCCGAGCGCGCACTGGCAACGGCGCCGCTGATTGATGGGCGCCCGGTTCAATGACAGGGGCCGGGGCGCGGGTGAGGCGGGGCCGGCGACGAGGGCGGGGGCTCAGAGGAAATGTGTCGGTGACATTGAATGGGGAGACCGAGCGCGAGCGAGCGGGGCGCGCGCGCACACATACGCGCACACACAGCCGGGCTCGCTCCGAGATCCCCGGCCACGTAAGTAACTATTAATACCGCCTCGCCCGGGAATGCGGGCGTGCTGAGCGCCGGGATTGGCCTAGGGCGCCTGGCCATTCCCTTTAATTTTTAAATACACGATCCTCTCCTACTTCTGGGTGGCAAAGAAAAAAATCATAAAAGAAGAAAAGCCGTCGATTTCAAATTTTTCCTCCAGAACAAACCCCGCCGTGCAATTTGGTCGTACGGCATCTGAAGGCAAGAGTGGTTTGCAAATCTTTCCAAGGCTCAAGACCCGGTTGTGCAGCGGGAAAGGAACGCCGCTGGTTGGCAGGGTCCGGGGAGCATCTGTTGCCAGCTCCCGCAGGACCCCTGGAAGCTCCTGCCAGGGACACAGAGACCGCTGGTCGCTGGTCTGCCCAGGTCACCGCCCGCACTTCTTGCTTCCTTCGGAGGAGGATCCCGGACGCGAGCAAGCGGCGACAGCAGGAGCCAGTGCTGACTGCGCGCGGGCTCAGCCTTGGGCTTTGTCGCGGTACCTGTGCCTGCTCCACTCCCGCACTCCCTGCTCAGTTTTTCCAATCTTTTGTTGGCACCGCTGACCGCTCCAAGTTAAATGCTTCTTTGCTATTTTGCTTTTTTTTCCTGTCTACTTTTTTTTTTTTTTGAGAGCTCTGCGATTTTTTTGAAAAGCCTCAGACGCCATCTACAGTTAAGACTTAGGTAACTGCCCTCTCTAGCACCCCCCTTCCACGCCCCCCACCCTTTCCACCAAAAAAAGGGGGGTGCAGCGCGGATTCTGACTGCCGCGCGGCGTGAGCCGGTAGACTGGTGCTTATTTCCTTTTTCTTTTTGTTTGGTTTCTAACGCGTGGAGGGCGAGCCGGCGCCGCGCGCTCCCTGAAGACTGCACAAACTCCACGCAGGGCTCCTCCGCCCGGTCTGCGGATCCTCAGCTGGGGATCGCTCGGGATTCCGGCGCTGCAGCTCTGCAAGCCAGAGGCACACTCAGTCGTTCAGATCCACGCTGTGAACAGAGACCCACGTACTCCAGAGCGCGGTTCTGTACCGCGCAGGCGGCTTCGGGGTAACAAAAGGACCCGAGTTGTCTGCAGAGCGAGCACCCCCCGGGAGCGGGGCTTGCAGCCGGGGACCTGCCCTGAGGCGCCCATCCGGGGGCTAGCTTCTAACTCTTCCCCCACGGAGCCCTAGTCGCGTCCCCTCCCCTTTTGATCCTTTTAAGTTGGTGGCACCGAGGCGCCTGCAGCCGCGGCTCATCCATCTCTCAGCGGGTTTTTCGGTTTGTTTGTTTGTTTGGTCGTGTGCGATTCCCCACACTCATGAACATTCACAGGTCTACCCCTATCACAATAGCGAGATATGGGAGATCGCGGAACAAAACCCAGGATTTCGAAGAGCTGTCGTCTATAAGGTCCGCTGAACCCAGCCAGAGTTTCAGCCCGAACCTTGGCTCTCCGAGCCCGCCCGAGACTCCGAACTTGTCGCATTGCGTTTCTTGCATCGGGAAATACTTACTGTTGGAGCCTCTGGAGGGAGACCACGTTTTCCGCGCTGTACATCTGCACAGCGGAGAGGAACTGGTGTGCAAGGTAACCAGCCCGGCATTGCTTTTGCTTAAAAAAAAAAAAAAATCATCCCGGGTCTTTTGGCAGGGGCTGAGATAGGGAGGAAGGTCGCTGAGCCCTCGAGTCCAGGGGCGGGAGGTTCGCGGAATCATTACGCGTGGCCTTGTTAAATGGGTTTATTTGTGTGTCTGTCCACGTTTGACGAGTTGCGAAGTTTTTACACCTTTTCAAACAATGGGGCGGGCTGCAGCGGGGGCGTTTTGGGGAGAGCCGGAGAGGGCTGCGAGTCTGAGCAGGGGCATGGACACGCGTGCCCTAGGAAGCTGGTCTAACTCCTGTGCACCAGGTCGAGTACCCTCGCCCGGGGATTTCTCTCTTGGTCGAGCCCCCTCCCCTCTCCACGAGGACTAGGGAATCCCCGGTTGGTTTTCAGACGCCTGCTCACTTGGTTCCCTTTGTAGCCATTGTTCTTGGCAGTCTGCAGGTGCTAAACCTTTGTTCCAAAGGTGCCCTTTAAAGGAGACAAAAAACAAAAACACTGTCCCCTCTGGCTGAGCCCAGGGCTCTAGTGGGCAAAGGAGTTTTAAAGCCTTTTCTTCTGCTTGGAGCCTGGAAAGGAAGGCTGGAATGGAAATCAACCCCTTGGGCACTTTTGGGCAAGCCAGGAACCCTCTGGATCTGTCTTTTTGTCCGGGTTTCTTCGCATCTTCAGATTTCCTGTCTGCACACCCTGGTGGCTGCTCCCACGGCACCCACAACACTACCGTTGCCTGTTTAGAGACTGTCCTTTGGAGCCCCCTATGCTAATACCAAGAAGGGCACGTCAGTTTCCTTTTTGTCTTTGACCCTGAACAGTGACCGTCTTGTGTCTCCGTGTGTGTGTCTTTGTGTGCGTTCACCAAGGGGATTGAGAAGAGTAGTAACAAAATATTCGACTACAGTCTCTTTCCTATGCAGTGGAGAGCAATGCTACCTAGAATTGGAAGCAAATCAAGAATACATTACTAAAATTTAGGTCTTTTGCATTGTTTTCTTTATTTCTTGAGGGGGAAGTGGGGTTCCTGCTGCCTCTGAAATGGGTATCATGCACATCTGTGCTACAAATACTGTATTACACTTTCCTCATTAATCGCTGGTGGCTTTGTGAAATCGCCCCAATTCGTGTTGAATTGGAGCGCTTTCCTTGCAAAAACAGGATGGGTGAAGATCTCCAGGCAGTTTTGAGATTATTTCTGAACTTAGAGGAAACCAAAGACTCTTTAAATATTGCTTTTTGCATGTACTAAGCATTGGGGCTTTTGCATCTTCTCCGAGTTACTGTAATCAAGAGCAGCTATGCCCAGCTAAAGCATTAAATTCAGTAGGCAACTCTGTGCCTGTCGGGAGCCCGGCACACTGCACAATAGGACAGTCATCCTTCGAAATGAATGAATCCACCAAGCTGTCATTCTCCTATGAAATATGCACCATCATCGGCAGTCAGCGTTCCCCCTCCTTTTGCTCAACTTCAGCACAGCATTTTACTATTTTTTTTCCCCTCCCAAAGGCTAGAGATGATTTTAAGTAATGAGAGTCCGCTGCCAAATCCTGCAGGAGCATCTTGCTATTATTTCTTTGTTTAAAGCCAGGCATGTCTCTGGCCTCTGTTCTTTCTCATTTCAGATCCTTCAAGACATATTTCACTGTAGGCTGACCTTACAGTGTCATTTGCAGACTTGCTCTCTGGCCCCAAACTGTACTTAATCTGCTGGTTTAGTTATTGCAAAGATTGAATCAGCCCCTCACCAATTACAGTGTGGCTGCAAGTGGATTTAAGTGCAGTATCATTGTTCTGCTTGACAGAGGTCATCTCTTTACAACTCGGCAGCTTCTGTTCTCCTGCCTTCTTACCCGAGGTGCTGTGGCTGACTTCTACAAGCATAGCTGTGTGCCATACTCTCCAGGAGAGTTTTATGAGGGTGATGCTGGGAGCTACCCCAATATATGCACTGTGAAGCTTTTTTTTTTTTAAGCTTGCTACAACATTGAACCCACCTCCTTTTGATGTCTTAGCATGTGGGATTCCTGTCTCTTAGCTGGGTGTTCTTGCAAGAAAAAGTGCAAAAGCAGATTAAACAGAAAGGTTGTGTTTACTGGGGCAGACTCTAAAGAGGGTTCTGGAGGGCATTCTTTTCTGGGAGGGTGATGCAGGGGAGAGCTTCCAAGAAAATAGCCAAAATTCCCCAGCCTGATTATTGTCTCCACGTGCCCACTTTAGTTAGCCAAAGCGCGGGGGGGGGCAGATCTTTAAGGGTTGTTTAGCTGTTTTCACAAAAATTCTTGTAGCTACTGTGCAAAATGACATAATTACTATCTTGGCAGAATGGGCACTTTTTTTTCCCCTCAGACATGATGAATGTGGCCCGATCGTAGGGCCTTATCTGAACTGTCACATTATATAACTAAGGCTCCCAATTAAACATTTAAAAGGAGCTGGCATCCAGGTTCATGGCTTGATTTTTTTTTTTTTTTTTTGCACTTGAGGGTGATGGTTTAAATACCAATCCAAGCCTATAAATGCCTGTTATAGCCACTAATAAAAGTTTGGCTCCTTCCCGTGGAGGAGGACATAAGCAGCTCTTTTAGTTTTTTCCTTTTCTGTCCACCATTTTGCAGTTTTACACTCTCCCACAAAGGGGATGGCCACACTGGAGAGTGACCGTGAATTTGTTGGGTACTTTTATTAATTTTCTGTCCATTCAGCTTTTCAGCCCTGCTCTGGGAGAGCAGGCTAACCATGCTGAGCCACAGGTTGTTTTGTTTTATTTTTATTATTGTTATTTTAAAGGTAACTGGAAACAGGAAGTGCATTATAAGTAATTAGAACTGTAGGCCGTGGCAACAGAACCCACAGCCTGGCCCTGCAGAGCAAATCATGCTTGTTACATAATGCAGCCTGTTGACATTAGCCACTGTGTGTGTGTGCATGTGTGTGTGTGTGTGTGTGTGTGTGTGTGTATGTTCCTCGATGAAATTCCTCCCTGGTTTTGTGGCCTGCAGTCTCTGTGCTAAGGTTGACTCAGGCATTTCAGATTCCTAATTGAGCGGGCCTCTGAGGTCACCTCTCTGAGGTCATCCTTTGACAATATCTGGGTGTGATTTGTGGTCTCCGGGGAGGTTCCAGCATTCATTCTTAAATTCGAGGGTGTAGTGGCAACAGCTGTGCCACTTTCCTGAGCTACCTCATTATGGCTCATTCACAGCCTTTCTGTTGACTTTGCTTCCTCAGCCCCAGTTAACACCAGCCCCCTTGAGGTGCTTATTGTCCCTGTTTGACTCACAGGTTTCTTTCTTTCTTTCTTTCTTTCTTTCTTTCTTTCTTTCTTTCTTT